TTGTTCTCTGCTGAATTCTCCAAGCCCACTTTCCTCAAATTTCTCAAAGGTTTTCTAACTGTAATTCTAAGTAGATGTCTCTTTTTTTATTCCCGTTTTTACTTAAAACTTGCTCAGGTGTCCCATCCATGAAAACCATCAAAATTTTCTTGAACCACAACTCTTGCCTTAGGGGCTACTTTTGTGCGAAACTTGTCCAACGTTCATTTATCATATAGGAGGGTTGATATTACGTAGCAGTTCAGTACCTGTTTCTTTGTTCTAACAAAATTTTCCTGGTAATTCAATCAATTCAAATCAGAATGCGTTTGAAAATAAAGCAATGAGAATTCATAATGCCATACCATATCGTCTAATTAAACCCTTGACGTCGTAAAACCGAAGACTATGAACGATAGTAGTGTAATTTTTGTTTATCATTGAAGTTTTGAATTTTCGGCACGAGTGATTGCACTCCTGTGGTTGTATTATTGCATCTTTTGGGGATAAGTTAAGAACGTTTCTTTCGGAAACTCGGCCTCTACAGGGTGTTCAACAATTAGTATACTTTAGCGTTGTAAATTGTTTTTGTCCAGCTTTATTAAACAAAACAATATGTAAATATTTTACAAAGCGGAAGTAAAAAAAATATAAAATGTCCACAAACCTATTTGATACACCATCTTTTCAACATGCCCCAACTTTTTCTGCATCAATAACTTGCTGATGACGCTTGGTGAATGACACGCATGTGGCACGTCGGATCACATTTTGGGGGGATTTTGTCCCATTCCTACACAAGTTTCGCCTTGAAAGACTCCAAATTGTGTTGGGCGTGAGGCAGAAATCTTGTTTTCTAAGATACCCCAGATGCTGGAATCAAAACAATTCCGGTCTTTTGATGCTCCTCCATACGAACATCCTGTTCGCTTTTAATTTAACAATATCCTTCGGAGCGTGTTTTGCCTTGCACATTTCTAAAATGGCGGTTCTTTTAGTTATAGTTTTACTGATTCCTAAATCTAATTCCTGAAATGATAAAATATAGGTTAGTTCTATTAAACAAATTGTATAACATTGCAAAAAATATCATTTTTGTTTTTTTTTTTAATTTAATTGAAATTAATATATATGTAACGATAAATATTCCAGCCTAGAGAAACGAAATATTTTAGCGCTTTTGAAGTATTTGGAGACATATTAAAACAGTAATTACTTTTATATTGTTAGTTCATCCAATAAAAGGCCCAGAAGCCACTCAAAGTAGAGGGTTACTAGGAGAATTTGTTGTAACGGAGAAAAAGAAGAAATAAGAAATGAACACTATGAGAACGTGTAGGATATATATATATATATATATATATATATATATATATATATATATATATATATATATATATATATATAATTGTAGAGTGGTTAAATGAAATGGCTAAATATAAGCAGGTGTGTACGCGTGTGCTGGTGTGCATACTTACGGCAACATAGACCCCGTACCTGATGAACTGGGAACACCACCCAGCAAAACTATAGCCACACGTCAAAAATTTAGGCACTTATTAATATATATATATATATATATATATATATAGAGAGAGAGAGAGAGAGAGAGATACACCTAGTGAGCCAGACAAACATACCCTGACGATCCGTTTAGGTGAAACCTAGGTAGGTTTGTCTGGCTCACTAGGTGTATCTAGGTCTGCTCTACGGTTGTATTGAGCTCTTTTGTTAGTTAGTTGTTACTCGTATCAGGGTTTTCTTTGGGCTTCAGACCTGCATCTGCGCGATTTTTTTTGTCGGCAGAAGTCCATGTTTGTAGCTCTTTCTTTTTTTTAAAACTTTTTTTCCTCGAGATTGATTTGATTAGCAAACCAAAAATTCGAGGATTTTCCGAAACGAGTCTAGTTATCTATATTTATATGTATAAAGCTCTAGGTTATCCTATCGAGCACTGTTTAAAATCAACTAATATGGAACGCGTAGACATAGGTTATTCACTTAAAAACATACCCATACCTGACCGTCACTCATACGAGTTATGTTTATTACGGAAAATAGAAAAATTTATAATAAATATGAGGTGGCGTGCATATTTTTTTTATATATATATATATATATATATATATATATATATATATATATATATATATATATATATATATTATTAATGTATCATTCATACAAGAAGTAAATTAGTAAAATTAATGAGAGAAAATGGAGAATTCACTTCGCTAACTAAATTTTAAAAATCTATTAACCCACTAACCACTCGATGAATGATATTATCCTTGTTTTTGGTTGTTTTTTAAATTATAAACTGCATTAGGTCTTTCTTAAATATGCAAGTACTTTCGACAGGTTCTCAGGTCATCATCAGACATGGAAAATTTTCTTTTTTCTAAAATTCAGGTAGCATCCGAGACGATATATATATATATATATATATATATATATATATATATATATATATATTGACCTTAGACTCTAACTTAAAACGTTATGTACTCGTAATCTTGAACATGAGAAAAAGAAGAGATGCGTTTCCTTTTTTTGCGTGAGTTCAAGGTTGATTATAATGCTTCATCAACTGTCGTCAACATTAACAGAGCATCAGGTGAAGGATCCACTTGTGATCGGACTGTATTTGCAATTGTCAGGGACTCCCCTCCCCGCCCTTTGTTCCACAAAGTAACAGTTCTGGAAAAGACGCTGCCTGAGGGGAATTTACCCCTTGAATAAAATGGGAATGGTTTGCAACCATGGACATGGTATGGGGCGCTCTAGCTGTGAAGGGCTAAGAAGTGTAACTCGTCCGAACACCTGTTATACTAATAGCAATAGAGTAGATAATAGAGAAAGTCTAGCAATATTTCGGCGCTATTAAAAATACAAAAACTTTATTCTAACGTTATACAAACTAACAGTTCTTTTATCGCGTAATTTGAAACACCGGTTCTCATACGATCACCGAAGTTAAGCAACGTCGAACCTGATCAGTACCTAGATGGGTGACCGCTTGAGAATCTCAGGTGCTGTAAACCTGTATGTTCCGATGATGTAATGGATAAAGTTTTGGAATTGTTAATTGGAGATCCGAATTCTAATTCCTCTTGGACTTGTTATATTCCTTTGTGCACAAATACACTTTGGAAGAGTATGAATCCACCTCTTCTCCCCTAAGATATGGGTTCATTAGTAAGACTTGCATCAGTAAACCATGTAAAAAAAAAAAGAAATTGTTAAAATCTAAAAGCATTTTTGATATGTCCCGGAAAGGGATATATTTGTTTTGGGCTACTGTAACCGAGTAGGACAATCTAGCCGGTAACCGTAATGGACTGGTCCTCGTCGTAGTGGTAGGCAATAGGCGTAGGCAATAGGCGTAGGCAATAGGCGTAGGCAATAGGCGAAGATATAGGCGTAGCGACGTCCATGTACCTCCAAATCAGTCTGTATTTATGGCTGACACCAGCCAATCATATTACTGTGAGGGGGTCCCAGGCGTATGCATATTCATTACATCAATTTTCTTGCTTTAAACAACTTGCAAAGTGTTGACAAACCGTAAATAACGAATCAATCGATCGCATATTTTGTTCATTATATTCTCAACATTTGACAAAATATCAGGTAGATCTCGCAGAGTTTTTAACCATTCTTTTGTTTTTAGAGACATTATCCTGTTTTTTAATTTACTGATAAAAAAAAGGGGCCTCGCAAACTGTCAATTATCCATATTACAGTTTAGCACTTGAAGTAATGGGTTTGCAGGCCTTCCTCGCCTCATCTTTGGGTCGCTAGGGTTCATCCTGATTTTTAAAGGATCTATTGGTTCCTTGAATTTCAGAAGTCTCTAAAAGTCTAAACAGTGTGCAGATTAATGATCAGTAACCTTGTGCTTACTAACGGCACCATATCTTGGGATAGTGGATAGGGCACTTTAAGGAAGTGTAATGGTTCTCAAGCTTGTCTCGCTAGAACAATTACGACTGATGGAGGGGGGAGGGGGTCCAGTGATAAAAGAACTTCAACACAGGAAATTTTATACTTAATTATTTTATTAATGTCGACGTATAAATATCGGTGGGGGTCGCTCCCTCACTGGGGAACCGTTTCAAACATGAAAGGAAACACGTCTACATTGTTCGATCCTCACTGGGTACCCCATACTTTCAGTCTTGTGCCACATCTAAGCTACGCTAGGAAAATAACGATTTAGCGCACCTCGAGGTGGTGTAATGGTTAGCAAGCTTTTCTCGCTAGAACAATTACGACTGAGTAGTGAGTTCGATCCTCACTGGGTGCCCCTTTCTTTCGGCCTTGTGCCACGTCCAAGCTACGCTTGGAAAATCATTATCTCGTGAAAGATGATAACAAGTCTCGCAGAAAATACATGCGATTGTAGTGAGTTTGTTCATAACTGAATACTCCAAACTTGTAGCTTGGCGGTGGGTGACCGTTAAGTTCTTTGCTTAACCCTTTCTTCTCTTGCATTTATCACCTTTCTTCAGCCCTTTCCTTGCAAATCGCTTTGTGTGAGGACATGAAACTGAGCAGATATGTCTATTTTAAGAGTCAGAGAAAAATCTGTTTAAAGGTTCTATTCAGCTGCTTGATCATCAATAGTCGAAAGGTTTCCTCTAGGGCAACGCAGGTTCGAATCCTGTTGGAAAACGCATATTTTTCTCTAATAAGATTTCGCGAATATTCAGGCCTGTAGACGAAAATAAATACTATTTAATAAACAAACTGAACGTCTACTCGAACTCGAGTATCAACGAAAAATAACGTTTAAGTAATAAAAATATGTCGGATTAATAAATAACCCCCACACGTTTCATTATAAATAGATGCGAACGATTAGCATAGACAGATAGATGGAGAGATAGATATAGTCAATTTAATGGAGTCTCTGGTCTTTTGGAGTGATTTGATATGAAACAAAAAGGTCAAATTTATACCATAGTCTACAAATAACCATATGGAAGGTAAATACGTGGAGGCTCGGATATAAACCTTTAGATGCTGAATTTAGATAGATAGATAGATAGATAGATAGATAGATAGATATAAAAAAATACGGATGTACTGAAGCAATAAGGTAGATAGATATTAAAAATCTGAGATAGTTAACTAATTAGATAGATAGATAGATAGATAGATAGATAGATAGATAATAAAAATTCTACTGTAGTTAATCAATGAGATAGATAGATAGATAGATAGATAGATAGATAGATAGATAGATAGATGATAAAAAATTGATGTAGTTACGCAATGAGATAAAAAAGATAGATAGATAATGAAAATACTGATGTAGTTAAACAATGAGATAGATAGATAGATGGATAGATAGATAATGAAAATACTGATGTAGTTAAACAATGAGATAGATAGATAGATAGATAGATAGATAGATAGATAGATAGATAGATAATGAAAATACTGATGTAGTTAAACAATGAGATAGATAGATAGATAGATAGATAGATAGATAATGAAAATACTGATGTAGTTAAACAATGAGATAGATAGATAGATAGATAGATAGATAGATAATGAAAATACTGATGTAGTTAAACAATGAGATAGATAGATAGATAGATAGATAGATAGATAGATAGATAGATAGATAGATAGATAGATAATGAAAATACTGATGTAGTTAAACAATGAGATAGATAGATAGATAGATAGATAGATAGATAGATAGATAGATAGATATGAAAAACTGAGAGTTAAGCAATAAGATAGATCGATACATTGATAGGTAGATAGATATGGAAATACTGATGTAGGTAAGCAATGAGATAAATACGAAAAAACATGAGTTAACCAATGAGATAGATATTGCTTAATTATCTCTGTTTTCATATCTATATATCTATCTGAGATAGATAGATAGATAGATAGATAGATAGATAGATAGATAGATAGAAAAAAAAGCCTGTTCATATGCTTATAAGAATTTTTAATATGTATTCATTATGCGCCGTCAAACCTACTGTATATAATAAGAGTTTGTAATGTATACGAAAATGCCTTTCTACAATTGCAATACACATGCCTATTTAACCGTGCTTACTTATGTGTGTATTGCTAAAATGAATGGTTCATAAAACTGAAATACAGGAACACGTTCCTCTCCGGCATCAAGATAAAACACCTGCTAAGCACCGACTCAGGCAGACAGACCACTAAATCGAAACCTTCTAATACAATTTACCAAAGCTAGGTACCAGGAATATACATATAGTCTTATATATATATATATATAGATATGCGTGTGTGTACGCGTGTATATATATAGGCCGAAAGTACGGAGCACCCAGTGAGTATTGAACTCACTACTCAGTCGTAATTGTTCTAACGAGTCAAGCTTCCTAACCATTACACCACCTCGAGGTGCCTAAGCTTAGATGCGGCACAAGGCTGAAAGTAGCGAGCACCCACTGAGGATCGAACTCACTAATCAGCCGGAATTGGCCATTATTTTTCTACATCTGTTTTTTCTATGCTTTCCATTTTCATTTTTTATATAAGTTAGTTTTGGGTTTTTGTAGCCACTCTCTTTTAGAGCCTTATTATAGGAATTGATATGCTCATCGACAATCTTGTCATTTGCTGAAATTGTACTAATTCGTTTACCGATAGATAACGGTATATGTTTAATTATAGATGGGGGTGATTAGATTTAGGATGAATATATAAAGGATTGGTGTTGGGTTTTTTATAAGGTGTGTATGTATTTTTATTTAAATCTAATGTTATATCTAGGAAGTCCACTTTTTTTAATTTAGTGCTAACCGTAATTTTTAAGCCCATGCTTTTAAATTCTTTATATAAAACCTTTCGAATTCTATCTATTTTGAAGTTAGTTGAGTTTCTAATAACCATCAGTCCATCGTCTCTGTACAAACCAATGTCAGTTATATTAATATCACGGTGCGCTGTAAGGTTGTATAATATAAAAAAGACCAATGAGATCAGAAGACTTAGCTGAGTCTAGTGATCCCATTGTGATGTCAAAGTAGTCATAAGAATTCTTAATCCATTGCTCACCTTTATGTAAAATTACCAATTTTTTCGCATATAGAATAATGTTCTTTTCTTCATCTGTAATATCCGTATAGTGGTTGGCAAAGTCCAACGCACTCATAAATAGTTCTTTAGATATTGATTGGTAATAATTATCAATATCAAACTGCATTAGTGTACTTTTTTTTTTCCTTTTATGTTAGTAAACCAGTTTATCACTTCCTTGGTATTAATCCAAAGTTTCAGGCTTATTTTTTCTTTAAGTTGTTTATTTACCCTTTCAAGGATCATTTTACTGATTTTTCCAATATCTGGTCTTGTAGGATTAATTATCCTTGTAGTGGGATTCGCCTCAAACTCTGGTTTGTGGTCCTTTAAGGTTATGTAGCATTATTTTTTATATAGTTGCCCTACTCTATCACTGATCTTTAGTTTATCAGTGATTTCCTTACTGCTAGTATTGATATCCCGAATTATGTTGAGGTCATTTTTATTCGCTTTCTTGTAGTTCTTATGTAAGTCCTTATTTATTAGGTCGTTGTATTCCTTTATGGTTGTTTTATAAAAATTTCCAGTTTTGTCGGATTTTACTAAAATTTTGTCTGTAGCGTGAATGTCCTTTACTATCTTATCTAGGCGTTTCAGGAAGTAGCTTTTCTTATCATGGAAATTTATGTTGTTGATTATTTCCAGTAGGTCCTTTTCGAAATCGGACAAACTATGAATAAATGGTGCTGCTATTTTACTGTTAAAACCGTAAGTTTCCTTGTAGTTTTTGTTTTTAGATTCATTCTTATTAAGGAAGAAGTAAGCTCTCCATCTTATCCTACGTATGAGTTCCTCTGTTTTTTTCATTAATATCACGAAATATTCCTTTTTGTTGGTATTAGGAATGTTCTTCAGAGAAATTCCGAAATTTATTTTCTCCATATTTTCTTGTTAAAAATAAAGATTTAGAGTGCTCGACTTTGATTAGGAGCCAATGCATGTATATATAAATAAAAAGAAAGAACAGTAAGATTTATAATCCGGTGTTCTTATAGATATTTTTATTTTTAACAAAATAGTGCTCAATGTAAATTTACAGAGCATTAATATTATAAATTAATTGATTTAAAATATGTTTTTTTTCGCTACACAGTTCTAACCATGTTTCAAAAATGGAAGCTAAAAGCCCCGAATTTAATTTTGTAATTAAATTAAAAACATTAGTTCCATTCCATCCTCGAGCGAATTTTGAAGTAACTTTTAGAATTATTAGGTTTAAAAGACACAGCTAAAATCATAATTCATGTTTCCAAGGTTACAGATAAATCCTCTTCCACTAGACAAGGGGTGTCTGCATGTTCATTATGTCCGTATTTTGATGTATCAGTTATTAGTTACGTTTTGGGAGGGGGTTGGGATGTATTTTTCAATGAAATCTAACATCCGTTAAATGCATGTCATCTGGATTTTTAAAAATTTTATTGTTAACGGCAAAAGGTATTAATCCACCTCTTTTCTACCCTCCCCCAGCTATGGGTTAACTAGTAGGACTTGTATCAGTAAATCATTATTCTCCCCCCCACTTCCCCCAAATACTTACAATCTAATAATATTTACTGATTTTGAAATAACCTGTCAAAGGTCGATAAACCGTAAAAAACAAATCACTCAATGTAAGTCTACCTCTCTCTGTTTCTGTCTACGTAGGTAGGTATGTCTATAGAAAATTCTTCCTTAAGCTATTTCTTAATTAGTATGAGTTGTATCAGTAAAACATTAAAAAAATCTTGTTAGAATCTAAAAAATATTTTCTGGCTTTAAATAACCTGCAAAGGGTTGATAAGCCGTAGAAAATGGATCAATCAAAAGGATACCCGATAGTGGATAGGTAGTTATCATTTGGGGCAAGAAATTCACTTATAGTTTCCTTAAATTAGAGCAGTCTGTTTTTTGTTTTTTTTATTTTATCTTAATTTATTTTATTTTTTATCATTCTGAACGGGTTCTTTCAAATTAGCGTATCTTACAGACCGTGTAGTTCAGTGCAGCTCGGAGTTTTTGTTGTTGTTTTGTCAGAAAAGTAAAGAGAAAGAGAAATTATTTTATACTGTGTCCAGTTTCAATATGGACAGCGTTAAGTGACGATCATTTTTGCTAACAATATTTGCATATTTTTTTAAACATGAACTTTGGTAGCTTCTTGAAACGGTAAGTGGTGGTGAATAACCTTGGTGTGTTGGTAAGTTTCCAAAAGGAATAATTGACAGCGTCTCTAGTCAGGTCTGTTTTCTTTTCATTAACTCGGTTTTTATTATTCAGTATTGTCTTTCAATCGGTCTGTTAGTTTGTGAATTATAGGCTGTTATTCGGTGTCTGTGAAAATCTATTCGAAATGATGGTTCATTAAAAAGTTCACCTTCAAACAGAACTTCCCTGCTGTTGACTACATCAAATTCTACTCCAAAAAGGAGGTCTATGTTTTTACAAAGCCATGTCCATTGTTGTTACCTAAGTATCTTTTACAAATATTGCTTCGATCCGAGTATTCGTTGACATCATAAAAGTGACAACGGATGTTCGTTAATCACAAAAATATGGCTGGTAATATTTTTTTTCTTTTCAAAAATGTATTGTTGGTAATATTTTTTGATGGCTAGAGCGCGCTGCAGAATCAAGCCAGAGATAGGACAAGAACCGTACGGGTTCGTTAAAGACACCGGAACAACGAACGCGATATTCATGCTCTGAATGTTATCAGAAAGGGCAATGCAAATGCAGAAGGACGTGTATCTATGTTTCATAGACTATGCAAATGCCTTCGACAAATTACGCCATAAGGATCTGCTGAAACTGCTCAGCAACCTTGACATATTCGGGAGGGATATCAGAATAATCAATGACCTATACTAGCAGCAAACGGCATGCATACGCATTGAGAATGAATACAGCGAATATACAAAAAATAGAAAAGGGCGTGAGGCAAGGATGCGTCTTCTCACCGGACCTGTTCAACCTATACAGTGAGGCAATTCTAAGAGAATTGGAAATTCTACCGGGATTTTTGGCGGCGACAATCTTAACAACATAAGATACGTAGATTACACAGGTACTGATAGCAGACACCAAAAAGAAATTATAACATTTCCTACAGAATGTAACGACGGAGAGTGTGAAGAAGGGACTAAGCACATATTACAAGACAACAGAATGCATGAGACCGAAATGCGATTTGCAGGTCGGGAACACTAGAATCAAACAGACGCAGAAGTTTAAATATCTGTGAAGCGTTTGGACAAAGGGCAGTAAATGCGACACTGAGATCCGTAGATGTATTGGGATGGCCATGGACGCATTTCAAAAGCTGGGCAGAGTATTGCGAGATAGGAGGTTTTCTTTGGTAACGAAAAAAAGGTACTGAGCCGTTACGTGACATCTGTTCTGTGCGGCTGCGAATGTTGGACTCGAGGCTAGAGAAGGATGCTAAGGATGCTATCATAGACTGAGCGTGTGTGCAACGATGAGGTTTTGGAGAGGATGCAAACAAGGAGGAAGCTTATACTTAAGGAAGATGCAGATGAAATTTCTGGGACATGTAATGAGAAAGGAGGGCTTGCAGAATCTGATATTCACAGGTTGAATAGAGGGAAAGAGAGACAAAAGAAAGAAACGCGTGACATACAAAGGGGGCTTAAGCAAGTGGATGACAGAACGTGGTCTGCGGGAGGTAGCAGAGGAAGGTTTAAAACTGCAAGGGATAGAGAGGTATGGAGACCCATGCTCGCCTACGTCCTGAAAGGACACGGCACACTAAAAGAAAAGTCTTTTGGTCCCAGTTTGGGGGTTAACTATTTGCCTACATTCATGTCAGTCAGCTGTTGGCTCTCACGCTGGTCAATAAAATCTTCCTGCCTATTCATGGCAGCCAGCTA